TAACTTACTACCTTAGCTACTTTCTTAATACTAATTATTATAATATTTAGCTACTTTAGAGTCTAATTATACTTATATACTACTATCTCTCTAGTGTAACTTATAGTAAAAAGGCTTTATAGAATATTAAGAATAACGCTCTCTTAGCGTATTTATAGCTTACCTAAAATAATATTATAATATAAGTTTAGAACTATATAGATAATAAAGTAAGTTAGCTAACTATTAATATTATACTCTACTATAGCTAACTATAAGATAATAGAGTTTTATAAAAAACTTACTACTTAGCATAGTAACTATAGAGTTAATTTAAGAAATTAGATACTTACTTTTCTAGTAACTACTTTATTAATTACGTAGAAATATTTACACTTTAAGTTAACTAATATCTATATCTACTTAGCGCCTTCTAGAAATAAAAATACTAAAAATAAGCTCTTATCTATAAACTAGCTAATATTAACTAAGTAAGTATTAAGACTATATATTAGTAACTCTTCTACTAATATAACTATAGTCTACCTCTAAGCTAGACTTTTCTTAGAGGTAGTTAGTTTTCTAAATATACTTCTTTTTTATCTAAACTAACTAATTATATTATAATAAAGTATATTATAGCTATATTTAGGTATACTCTTATATAGTAGCCTACGCGCCTATACTATATATAAATACCTACTACCTTATACTTACTAAATATATTTATAGAAATCTAGTTCTTTTAGTTAGAAGCTAGACCTCTATAAAAGCTTCTAGATATAGTATCTACTACTTTTATATTTACTATATAAATATTACTATTATAGTTTTACTTCTAAGGCGCTATAAGTATAGAGTAATAGAGCTAAGACCTCTAGGTAGACTTTATTTTTACTATCTTAAGGTTAACTATAATAGCTTTATATATAAGAACTATAGTATTATAGTTAGTATATAATATACTTTAGTTTATAGAGACTTCTTTTATATAATTATTTAAGGTATTATAAAGCTAGCTTAGCTTATACTTATTAGTCTAGTAAAGTTTATCTACTTATACTAAAGTCTAGCTAAAAGTAATAAAGAATTTTATAAAGAACTAATACTTTCTCTAGTATAGATAGTCTAGATATACTAGAGTCTACTTCTTACTATAGATATTACTATAGTAGAATAATAAGTAGTTAAAAAACTTTAGTAGATTTTAGATACTATATCTACTTATCTTAAAGTATAGAGTAACCTACTACTAAACTATAAGTAATAGTTTAGTATTAATAAATATAAACTATAACTTTCTATTTTCTAGAAACTCTTAGTCTATTACTAGCTTATACTTAATTATTATCTTTTAAGCTTAGAAGTATACTTTATTACTTTTAAAGTACTTTTCTATTTAAAAAGGCCTATACTTATCTATATATATAAGTAGAAGAAAAAAAAAAAATAAAGAGTTTATACTAGCGCTAAAACTACTAATAGATACCTTTATAGTAAAAGTAGTATTTCTTTTCTATAAAGTATTACTAGAAAAGAGCGTAGTATTAAACTACGTACTTAAGACCTTAAGGCATTAGATAAAGTATTTATTCTAGATCTAGAGTATCTAGAATAAGGCGTAGTCTTCTATATAGTCTTAAATTAGTTATTATAGTTAGTTTAGAATTACTTATAGAGTTATATTTTTAGCTATTTTTATTTCTTAAGTCTAGCTAGTCTATCTCTAAACTTATATATAGTACGTAAGAAAGAAGCTTTATAAATATTATAAACTAGCCTTAAAGTTAGAATATACTAAGTATTAATAAAATATTATAAGGCTTAAAACTTAAGAGGCTATATATAGAATCTAGAGGTTTATGTAGTAAGTCTAAACCTTACTTATACCTTCTCTATTCTAGCCTAGGCTTAGGTAAAGCCTAAGACTATTATATCTTACTTTTAGAGGTTTTTAGTAAATAGCCTTTCTATATATATATTAGTATTATTAAAAATAATTAAAATATTATTATCTATAATAATAAGAAATTCTTTAATAAGTATATCTTTAAAGAGATATTTATAGAGAAGTATATTATTATTATCTAAGCTAAAGAGAATCTAAAACGTTATTAATAATAGAATATAATAGTATATTATTAGAAATATTTACCTAGTTACTAAAGAGATTTAGCTTATTTTCTATAAAGTAAGAGTAATATTTTAAAAGTAAACCTATTAAGTATTAGATTATTATAGATAATAGTAAAATTATTTATAATAAACTCTTTTTACGCTATATTCTACTATAAATTACTTTATTACTTTTCTTATTATCTAGCTTATACTAATATTAGAACGTTCTAGATAATTATAATATAATAATAACTTACTTAGTATTAGTACTCTAATAATCTTACTACTACTTAACTTTACTAGTAATTATTAAAAATAATATTATAATTATTATAAATATTTATATACTAAGTATTCTTTTTAAACTATACTAGGCTAATAGACTTATTCTTAAGAATAGCTTTTTACCTATAATATTATTAGTAATAATTCTAGATAGATAATTTTAGTACTTATAAATTATTTACTATATTAAGATAAGATAGTTTTTCTTCTTTATAAGAGCGTCTACTACTAGTACTATAGCCTTTTTTAGAGGTAGTTTTAAGCTTAGAGTCTAAATTATATAAAATATTTTTATAGTTTTACTTAGTATCTACTACTATATTAACTTTAATAATAATTATCTATAATAATATAAAAGGTAGTTACTATTTATTAAGAATAAAGTAGATTTATAAATAGCTAGTATTAATATTATTAGTAATATTTATAAAAATAGTACTTATTAGCTAGAGTAAAACTAAAAGTAGAGTAGAGTTAATTAGTTATATTATTAGAAAAGATTATATAGTAAAGGTAAGTTAGTTTAAGTAATTATAAAAAATAATTATAAAGTAAAAGTAGACTAGTTTAAGTACTTATAGTAAATAATTATATAGTAAAAGTAAGCTAGAATAGAGAAATTATTAAAGATAATTAGCTCTAATTATTATAGCTAATTAGTTTAAATTATTAGAGCTACTTATAGTTATAGTATAGTAGAGTAGAAAAGTAAAAAACTTAGTCTAATAGGCTATAATAAGTATAGTAGAGGCCTCTGCATACTAGTAGCTACTAGGCCTAATTAGGCCTAGATCGCCACTAAGACTGTTAAACCCCGAGTAGAAGTATCCTGGCCCCGCGCAAGAGCTAGCTGACGTAATCACCGGCGCGGAAGCTTGGGCGTGCATCTTCCCGTAAGCCTTCGAAGGCGCCCCATCGTACAATCGTATACATCACTTTTTCTGTTCCAGTGTCTCCATCAAAACCCCAAGTCGAAGGATAAATCGCACAATACGATAGCACGAGACGGCATAGGCTCATAAATCCGACGGGTGGCACTGTGCGGTGTTGGACCATCTGCACCTGCCCGGCTCATGACGAGAGACCGGACGCTTGCATGCAAAAGAGAAGCTACTCTTTGAGCCTCTGTGGATTCCTTCCTCACCAAGAGCAAGCGCCTGTAGAAACACCGTAAACGTGAACGTGTGTAGGTGAGAAAACGGGAAACCGGCACCTATGGCTACACCCATCTGTGGATGGGATCAGAATACATTTCCAATTTCTGAAGTAGCATGTGGGGACTCCAGATTCTGTTCCGGGGTTTTGGAGAAGAGCCCTGGCCTCGCGCGCGCGGCGAACGCAGCCATGGCTTCACGACCCGGGTACCTGTCTCTACACCTGGTACCCGGGTCCTCGTTCTCTGGCACTGAATCCACAATCCGGTCCTTCGTAACGTCACCTCATCCAAAAGAGCTCTTACTGAAACTTGGCACGCGGTAGCGATACGAGTGCAACGCAGGCGTCACCACTTTGTAGAACAGCTGCTCAACCAACACTTGTGGATGTTGTATCAATGCGTGCTGTTGGATGACAGTAACTGCGCCCCATGAATCGAACACTCATTTCTCTTTGAAGTGTGGCAACCCCACTAATGGCTTTTTGGTGTACAAACCCAGAAGGGTAGCACACAAAAACGCTGATCAAACACTACTGAGCATTCAAGACGCGATTACGTCTGCATACCTCCTTCCCGCACGGGCAGCCGCACCAGCAGGAACCGACAGATGGAGCACGTTTTCACCGCAACATTGGTAGGTATTGAGTAAGGTAACTGCAGGTCGACAGCAACTCACTCGTTATTGGGCTCTCGCGCTTGTCGCTACCACCGAACTTTCATTTCCTCGCTCTCCGAGGATCGCTTTACTAGCACGTAACGCGCTCTTCACTTATAGCCCGGCTTGGTCAATTCGCAGGCGAATTCACCATCTCTTCCCATTCTCTTATCGAACCAACGGCGGGCGAACGCAGTGCTCTGGTAGTGGAGCGAACCGCAACCATGAACGGGCAAGTCCTCGATCAACACCATGACAACCACCAGCACTGACGCTGAAGACAGTGCACCAAACAGCCCAGTATCACAGGCGTCCAGTACGAATGACACAAAGTCCGAGCATAATGTTTCTCGACTGCGGCGTGTCAGAGGTAGTATACCATGGCAGCTTTGGATCGTTGCTGTCATCGGGTTCTGGGAGAGGGCAACTTTCTGGGGACGTGAGTGTTTTGATCACACCGCAACATCATGCCTGAACTAGCACTGACTCTATTGCGGACAGTCACAGCCCCTTGGCGTATGTCGTTGCCAATACCTCGTCTCCATCAACTGTTCTGACTAGCTTGTTGTAGAAAACTACATGGAACATCCCCGGCATCACGATATGGAGCACACCCCTGGTGCGCTTAACCTTGGCCAGACGACGGCAACACGCATTTACTGTGGATTCTTCATAGTCTACTTCACAAGTCCTGTCTTCATAGCGCCGTTGGCAGATAATCATCTGGGCCAATACAAGACTTTGCTGATCAGCTTGACGGTATATGCCCTGGGATGTCTTGCACTGGTCGTCAGCTCGCTACCCTCCATGCTCGGTCGAGGCGCGGGTCTGCCTGGTCTGATCATTGCAATGGTCCTGATAGCCCTTGGTGGGGGTGGTGTGAGTAAAGCAGTCAACAACCATTCTTACGCGTACTGAATTTCTTAGACCCAGGCCATCATGAGGTCTTTCATCGCCAACCAGTACACAGATAGAGCTCCACGAGAAATGACGCTTTGCGGAACGCAGAACCGTTTGCTTCAATGGCTGAGGAGACGCGTGGCGCGAACATGTCTTTCGAAGTACTTACCAGCGTCGTCGAAAGGCGAACGGGTCGCCGTTGACAGCGAAATCACTCTCAAGTTCATTTACAATCTATACTTCTGGATTGGTAACGTAGGGGCTTTGTCGGCATTTCCGTGTGTTTACATTGAGAGGCACCATGATTTCGCTCCTTCGTATGCGCTGGGTCTTGGCTGTATCATCATCGCCCTTGGGATGCTGGTCTTCGGAAGGAAGTGTTTCGGTGCGCATAATTCGCTCATTTGGTACGCATTGTGCTAAACATTACAGTCAACCCACCTCAGGAGGCAGATGTCATTGTACCCGCTGCGAAGGTCCTCAGCTGCGCCGTCCGCAACGGGTGCCGGATGGACCGCGCAGACCCAGCGTATCAGCGCCTGGAGAAATCCAAGGAAGTTCCATGGAGTAGCCAGTTCGTCGATGAACTGACACGTGCATTGGGCGCTTGTCGCGTGCTGTAAGTGCTACCACTCTTGTTTCTCAAGCATACTAACACGTAGACTAGTCTGGCATTCATCGTCTTCTACATCTGCTTCGACCAAATGCAGAACAACTTGATCTCTCAAGCGAGCGATATGGATACTGGTAGTACACCCAACGATGTCCTTCCCGGCATGAACCAAGTGGCATGCATTATAGTCAGTCCGTTTGTGGAGTACGTCCTCAACCCCATGCTAGCCAAGCGGCGCATATATCTGAAGCCAGTCACTCGCATTGCCATTGGCTTTTGCTTCGTCGTACTCTCGATGCTGCACGCAACTCTAGTGCAGCATTACATTTATGCATCCCCGCCCTGCTTCGACCACCCAACAGACTGCGGAGACCGCCAATCTGTCGCACAAGATCGGCCTAATGTTTGGGTACAAGCACCGCTTTATTTTCTCATCGCGACGGGCGAGGTTTTCGCCATGACGACAGCCATGGAATACGCAGAGAAGCACGCACCCAAGGAGATGAAAGTGCTCGTACAGGCCATCAACATGCTCATTACGGGGATAGGCTCTGCTATCGCGCTAGTCATCGCGGAAGGGGCGCGCGATCCATACCTTACTCGATTCTACGGTAGTCTGGCAGGAGCCATGGCCCTCACAACCATCATTTTCTACGTGGTGTTCCGCAACAACGACAATGACGACATTGCTACATCTCCGCACGGTTCCGCAGATGTGGAAAAGGGAAACAGAGACGCCACGCCTACACCACCCCTGACAGCTTCACCGTTTCGATCACGCGAATCCTACCTGAGCGTTCCCACGACGATTAAAGACGAGGGCATCGAATTGAGAGTGATTCCACCTTGCAGACTACGACAATAATTGAGCGACACAACACCACTGTAATGTGGTCACGCGACGGAGCATACATTGCCCAAAAACTGCGTACGTCCCTTGGCTAGCACTAAGTGACGCGATTTTACGTTACGGTTGTATATACACAAGTGCAGGGTGGCTTTGATGAGGATGATGCCGTGTAACGACAGTGAAGGTGGATTCGAGGCAACCGTTGCGTCTCCAAAGTAATATGAAGCCGTTGACATAGACGTCTTTACGTGTACCTTCTCGAGATCTCACCCCACCCAGGGATAGAAGTGGACCTGAATCTCCCCGCAAAGTAGTCTAAATAAATACTCATAAGCCTGCACTGTCTTACAATATTACACACGTTTGTTTTAATACCCACAGATGTGGCTGAACTGATAAACATGCCTCAAATTGGTATCGTTGCTCACAGCCCCCGTAGATCCAGCTTTGCAACCCGTCCGCCAGACCCGCTGGCCCAGCAAACGTCTCTCCCAACGCACTCGACAGCATCGAACGTTCCATTACCGATAGGAACCCAATTCCTCCCTCCGTCGATAGTGACATCTGACCCACTAGTTCCAACTGCAACGGCTGTTTGTCTCCTACCTGGCACCCAACTGACACCCGATCTATATCCGCGCGGAAACGAGTCAGCCTTTCGCCAGCTCACGCCGCCATCGTTGGACCAAGACGCCGTATTGTTGCTGGCTGTAGGTTGCTCATAGTCTCCACCGACTGCGATACCGTGACGCGTATCGCAAAAACGCACTGAGAACACACCGGCAGCGGCACCACCAGAGATGGACGAGTTCGCGACCTGCCAGCCATGACTGACGCTATCGGAACTTGTGTAGAAGATTCTTCCTGGATCCACGCCGCCACTTGCGATGTACCATCGGCCCGCCGCAGCTTCAATGCACGTTCCGCTTGCTGCGAAGCCGAACTCGCCATCCAGCGCTGGCGGCATCGTGTTGTTCGAGACAATAGACCAGTGCGCACCACCATCCCACGTTTCTAGCAGACGGAATTTGCCGTCGACAGGATCGCTCATTGCAACGCCGTGGCCCTCTCTACCTGTTTTTGTCTCGAACGCCATGCAATCATAGAATGCTGTCTTTTCCTCATTGATGAACGTGGGCCTCCAGCTCTTTCCGCTGGACATTGGCGCGCGAAGTCAGTATACGTGTTGCATGTAATTTGTACATAGCAACTCACCCATTGTCCGTTTTGTAGATTCGTGACAAGTTTCCCTCACCGATCGATAAAGCAACGGCATTTTTCTTGGAGAAAGCCTGGATATCGCGGAATTGGAAGTCTGAAGCATTCTCGAACGCAAATTGCGGGGACACGTCGACCCACGTTCTCCCGGAGTTGGTGGTACGTAGGATGGTGCCAGACGTACCGGACACCCACAGTACCTTTTCGTCAACAGGCGAAAGGCCGCGGAACTGTTGTGTACTGTTTGTGGGTGTAAGCGTCCATGAGAGAGGCTTTGTAGGCTTTGGATGCGCGAATGTGAACGAAGCGATCGAGAACAGAATGGCTAGTGTCTTCATGATGCAAGCACTCATAAACACGGGAACATACAACAGTCATCTCAGAATCAAGGAGATGATGCTGGAGAGATTAAGTACCTAATCAAGCGCAGCTATCGTGCCCCGCAACGGCCTTTAGCCTTGATAGGCAGGTGCGACATTCGCCACACCAAAGTAGTGGCATTGAACCCAGCATCAAAGACTTGATGGAATACATGTCTTTCGGACCATGATGGAGTATCTGCGCGAAGTACGCAACTTTACGTCTAAGCAAAGCATCCAACGATGTTGAATTTGATGTTGCTTGCACAGTTCACATATAGCGCAATGTAGGTTTCGGACCGAGACCGACCCAGACGCCTGTAATGTAGCAACTTCAGGGTTGAACTGTGGAAGGGACCTTGCCATCATGACTTAGTTATCTGGATTCGCCTATGTTTCTGGACATATACGGACCACGGAAGAGTTGTTCGCTCTGACTACTTGCGACACTTGTCTGAATACCGGAAACATGCGGCCTATATTGAGTATCGGTAGCCTACGTCTTCGGCATAGCCAGGCAAACTCCTAAAAAGACTGATTGGACAGGTGACAATGGATGACATTTCGGAAGTTGAGAGTTTGCAGCACGCGAAGCTTGGAGAACCTCGATCATGCCAACGACAGCAAGCGGATTCAACGATGCATGTATCGAACATCTTGCAATTTAGAGCTAGGTGATAGAAGAGTTTGAAGAGAAAAGACGCAACACGCTTGCTCATTGATCGATCGCAGCTTCGGTAGCTTTCAAAGCTCCAACTACAGCAAAGCATATCATGGGAGTGACTGCGTAACTGATCTGCCAGTGGGTTAGTGGATGCTACCAGCTGACAGTATCTGATGGTTTCTTACTGTTAAGAATTTCGCAACAGTCATCTTCATCGACTCCGCTGCACCTGTAACATCGGCTAGCGCTACCAATATCATAGCAGGCGGACCGGTCGGCATGAGCATCATCGAGAACCAAAGCATAGGGTCTGCATCTAGAAGCTTCGTCTTCGAGGCGATTGCGTAGATCAAAGGTATGCTTATTCTGTTGCCGATTAGTCGAAGCTTCCTCCATGTAGCGGGTAAAGAATCTTACAAGGGCCAGATGATGAATCTAATCAAGGTCACGGTCGCCAGACTACCCTTGTGCACCTCCCCACTGTGCTCTCCGCGCTTCATGCGCAACAGGCTCTTGCTGAGCTTTACCCCAACAACAATGATCTGCAACGAAGCAAATAGATCGCCGATATTCTTTATCGCCGCCGTGATCGACGCGTTGAGATAACCACCCTCGTTGCTAGGACTGAAAAAGATTCGATGAAGCGCGGGCGTCAATCCAATTACTGCTCCGACGATAGCGCCGATCAAGGGAGCGTTGGCAAAATGCCATGTGATTTCCAGTGTCTCTTGTAGCCACGGAGACAAGTTGTTGAACCATGCTCTTGTCTTTAAATATCCTTTTACCTCCACGCGATTTGCGGGCTTGGTCAACTGGTGTGGGAGCAGCGAAGTCTCCTCATCGACGATCCCATCAGGACCTCGCTCCATATCACTACTCCCGCCGTCTCCGTTCGCTTCGCCGTTCTCCAAATCATCGTCCTCTCCATGTAGTTCATTGGATGCGTCCTCATCTCCTGGCCTCAGCAAGCGCGGCCCAAGAGCAAAGGTAAGCGAGTTGCTAACCATTGCATTCACCAGGAAGTATGATTCGGCTCGATCCATGGCCTCACTGCCAGACTCGCCGCCAATGAGTATGGCATCAAGAACTTGGGTTTGCTTGAGAGACTGTATAAGGAGGAGGGGAAGAGAGGTCGTGTTATTGAAGGCGATTGCTGGTGCCACCCAAGCTGGCAGTTTAAAGAGTCGCGTAAGGACGCGGCCGACGAGGACGGAAAGTAGTGTATAGGATATCGACCATACTAGCAATTGTGGTAAGCATATAGTTGACGAAGGCCCAACAAAGTATACTTACTCAGAACAGGCACATATCGCACTCCGGTGTCCTGATGCAGATTGGAGCCAATTTTGTAGATCAACAAAGCCGGCAGAAACATGCGCACGCATAGCTTCGACACCTCCTTCGCCGCGTTGGGCGAAAGTAAGTTGCATTGTGCTGCGACAACACCAAAAGCAATGGTCAGGAGCACCGAGAAGGCAGCTTGAATGGCGCCGGTGAAAGGTACGATGAGTTCGCCTGCAGCCACACCCATGATGGGAAGAGACGTCTAGCAGTCGGTAGCGGAGGAAAGTCCGAGTCGATCGTGTGGTAGCGGTGGTCAGAATGATGTAAAGCTTCGAGTAGTCTTCAAGCGTGAAATTAGGAGGACAGAGTTTAGCATCATCGTCGTCGTCGCGCACGCGACCTGGGCCGCGTTCCTGGACCATGACGTCGGTGCAGCGGGTCGCCGTTGGAGACGCCAATCCCACGCCGCGGCGCTATCAGGCAGATTACTCCATCCATCGCGTCTCTTCGGGCGTCCATTGGAGACCCCGAGATTCCAGTAGGTCGTGTATCGGAATTCCCGAAGATAGGTAGACTGCGAGCTGTGCTGTGGGCCAGAGTGCTCTTGAAGATGTAGCAGCGCCGGCACGCAAGACGCTTGGACGGTCACGTCGGCGGATGTGTGAGACGCTAGATTAGTCATCGGAGCTAGCCAAGCGCTTGGCGACTGCTAGAGCCTCACAGGCACGATAGGTTCACAGGCCAAATTCTCCACGCGTTCCGTCAAGAGACAGTGGTATTGATACACGATATAGGAAATCTAAATAGGAAATCTAAATTACGCCACCTATGCACAGCGCCCGCACAGAAACTCCGCTGACCGTCGTCTTCGCCGCAACATTACCGACGCGTCCGTCTCGCATCTCATCCCATCTCACAACACGACGCCCCTCTACGCCGCCTTCTTTGTAGCCTTGGTCCTCAACTTCATCATCAAGTACACCAGTGTGTAACTGCTCACCGAGAACAACACGACGATGCCGGCGTTCCTCCACCCATAGTACTCTTCCGCAAGGTTCAGGGTCCGGAGAAAGTCCGCTCCGCTCTTGTACTGGCACACGCGGCAGTCGACGGTGGCATCGGGATTGAGCAGGTTGACACCGGATCCCATACCCTGCTGGTAGACTGAAAGGTATTCGCCGCAGGTCTGGTTGGCAGCAGGGTCGAAGATGGCGAGCTCGCTCGATTTGCAGTCCACATTCGCAGACCAGGTGGTGAACACCAAGAGAGAGGACATCAGGTAGTTGAACGGGTCCAGATAGTAAAGCCAGTACCTCCAGAACGGCTCGAGCTGACTGTAAGGAACCAGAACTCCGCAGAAAGACACCAGTGTCGTGACGAAGAGAGGGTTGACGAGCGAGGCGAATACGGCGTTTGGGGAGTAGGCTGCGATCATTTGCCCGATACCAGTATACAGGAACTCGTAAACAAGCTGCGATATGTCAGTCTCT